TTTTCAGCATGGGGACACTGATACACATGATGCTGGAGTCCATTGGGCTGCAGTAATTACCATGTTCGATTAATCAAGTCTGCTCCAAAGTGGTGTCATTGGAGCAGCCTCTCTGCACATATATAGGCACCCATAGAGGCTAATTTGTTCAAAGAGATATGAGCCTTCATAGGCAACAGCCTACTTTATCAGATGCAGATCGATTCCTCAGATGGGGTATAAACCTTATAAGGATCTCTAAGTATGTACATTTGCAAAATGAATACATGTTAAGTTATGGGAGGGAATACCTCCAGTGAAAGAATATAACAATATATTGGAACACCTCCAATGAAGCAGAAAAGCCTAGATGGTATCCCTACCCAACACTATTCAGTTCAATGAGCTTTTAACTTCAAAGTCTAATCACTAATTACAGCATAATTAATTTTATTATTTAGTACCTATGTGCCAATGGCATCCTGTATTACTCAAAACACTCTTATTAGAGGATTTCTCTGCTTTAATGCTATGAATTGAATCTATTAGTATCTAATCCAAGGCACTGGGCGATTTTAAAAGCACTGGAACAAGCACTTTTACACCTGAAGCTTTCAGAGGTAAGACTAGTATGCTTTCTGTTTAAAGGACAGCCAAGAAGGCAAGGTACCTTATAGACTAACCCAGGTGCATATATGTGCGTGTATGTACATGCGTAGAATAAGCTTTGTTCACATTCTTTTACAGCATCTGGTGAGGTAAGCTTCAGGTATATGTCTACCTACTTTGGTTAGTCTATAAGGTGCAAATCTACTATGTCTTCTACTTGTCTTCCTACTAACATGGCTAGCTACTACTCTCTGCTAAAGGTCACCCTTTCAGCTTCTCTTAAATCCAGTTTGGCTTGCAAATTGCCAGTGCAATAGCAAGGGTAGAATTGTGGTGCAAACTTGAGCCCATTTAATTAAGAGTATCCTGGGAAAGTGCCCTTCCTACAATAACCTAAATGTCTTCATTCTTATAATTATTTTGTAGAGTAGGGAGGCAGGCAACTTGTGTCACTGGGATGCTCTTTGTGGGCTCTAGTATGTACTGTAAAGGAAGTGCTCTCTAATAATTTGATGTTATTTCTTTTTCTATAGAGAATGGTTATAGGAAATGAGAACATCCCATACCTACCTCTTGTCAACCAAAAAACTGCTTACCACAACTCAAATCAAAACACTGATTTATAGAGTTCAATGTGTTATGTGGTTGATGTAGGGACTAAAAGCTAAATTTTTAAGAGTATTTAAATGCCTAATCGTGAGAATTAGGCACCTAGGAGTATTTAAACATCGAGTACTAACTGTTGTGATTGGCAGAGGGATTAAATGAGTTGTTACGTTGCCTTTTTCTGGTTGTATAATCACAACATGCCGGAGACTGACTCAATGACCCTAGAAATTAGTTCCAGTCCTGTGTTCCAAAGAAAAAGGTCTATGGCTCAGCTATGCTGCAGAAGTGTTTTATCAGTATAATTATACCATTTGAGATCTACTGGCAGCCTTTTACCTCCCCCCATGGGGATGCATCTTAGGCTAGTTCTCCAAACAACCTAAGCTATAGAAGCATAAGGACATTTTTAGGGTATATAATTCTGCCTACGCTGGTTTTCCCAGCACAACTGTATCAATCAGGGATGATTTTTTCCCTCACTCATGGAATTAGTAATACTTAAGGCCTAGGTCAGTGGTTCTTAACGTTTTTTTTTAAAAGAACCTTTTGGCTCAAAGAA